TTTTTCACTCAAAGATGAAAAGCGCTCTGGTCGTCCAGTTGAAGTTGATGACGCCCTAATCAAAGCAATAATCGATTCGGATCGTCACAGTACAACACGTGAGATTGCAGAGAAGCTTCATGTATCACATACATGCATTGAAAATCACTTAAAACAACTTGGCTATGTTCAAAAACTCGATACATGGGTTCCTCACGAACTGAAAGAAACGCATTTAACGCAACGCATTAACAGCTGCGATTTGCTAAAGAAACGTAATGAAAATGATCCATTTTTAAAACGACTGATAACTGGCGATGAAAAATGGGTTGTTTACAACAATATCAAGCGGAAAAGATCGTGGAGCAGGCCAGGTGAACCAACTCAAACAACATCAAAAGCTGATATTCATCAAAAGAAGGTTTTGTTATCAGTTTGGTGGGATTACAAAGGAATTGTCTACTTTGAACTCTTACCACCCAACCGAACGATCAATTCTGATATCTACATTGAACAACTAACGAAATTAAACAATGCAGTTGAAGAAAAGCGGCCCGAATTGACAAATCGAAAAAGTATTGTATTCCATCATGACAATGCAAGGCCACACACATCTTTGGCCACTCGGCAAAAATTATTGGAGCTTGGTTGGGATGTTTTGCCACATCCACCATATAGTCCTGACCTTGCACCATCTGATTACTTTTTGTTTCGATCTTTACAAAACTCCTTGAATGGTAAAAATTTCAATAATGATGATGATGTCAAATCGTACCTGATTCAGTTTTTTGCTAATAAAAACCACAAGTTTTATGAACGTGGGATTATGATGCTGCCTGAAAGATGGCAAAAGGTCATTGATCAAAATGGGCAATACATTACAGAATAAAGTTATTTAGTTCCATGAAAAAATTGTCTTTGATTTTCTAAAAAATATCCGCAATTACTTAGTTGCCAACCCAATAGTTGATGCGCGATGGCAGACATACAAATACCTTGAACTCTCGCTGAAGCGATTGCCCATCATAAAATGCGACAGAATATTTGTGGCGGCAAATGCGACTACTGGCTTCAATGTTCTCACACCTCCGCCCTTCAGGTTCTCCAGAATCGCGTCTAGTTCGGTCGCAATCATGTCCGACATCAAGCGTTTGCCATAACCGAAGTCTTTCAGAGTATGGATCATCCAGTTACGCAATTCTTTCCACGCGGGCCCATCATTCATCGTGATGCCTTGCAAACGAAAATTAAATTTCAGCCAGCAGATATCGTAATTGGTGAACGGTTTCTTACTGTCGTGCCGTGAAGATGGGGAAGGTGGGATTCCCTCGAGAATACGTCTCAAACAGATACGAGAAATCGTGTAACGAGGATTACGCGTTTGAATAGTGTAATTGTCAGTTTCGAAACGAAAGGTGGACTCGATGAGAAGGAATCGAATTCAGTTTTTGAGAAAAAGGTCAAACATAAGGATGAGTCAGTTTTCTTTGCTAATAGTTTATATACAGGGTGTCCCAAAATTATGCTACTTCCGGGAAATTAGAGATTATTGAAGTCATTCGAAGCAACTTTTTCCTTTACAAAAATTTTCTCCGAGGCATCGTTAACGAATTATTAACGGAAAACGCTGACCAATGAGAGGCGAGCTTGGATGGCGCGAGGCGGCCCAGCCAACGAGCGCACGAATCCCAGTTCCGCTCATTGGCTCGGACAGGCGAGCTCGACCTCATTGGTCATTGTTTTTCGTTAATAACTCGTAAACGATGCCTCGGAGAAAATATTTGTAAAGGAAAAAGTCACTTCAAATCACCTCAGGATCTCCTCATCTCGCGCAAATACCATAATTTTGGGACACTCTGTATGATAACTTACCTAGCTTCTTTCGGAAAGTACGTATTTTGATAAACTCGTCGAAGGGCCGGCCATCGAACTGTTCGTCTTTCAGTATCGCTGAGACTAGCTTCTTTCCAGAAACGATCAACCCCCTCTTCGTACCAAAGTACACGGTGATCATGTCGCTCCGGTATTGCTTGCAAAGCTCGATCAGTGCCAGATGCAATCCACCACATTTCTCGGATAATTGGTTCAGTAACAATTGGTTGCCGACGATCGGCCAAGGAAATGGTCCTGAAAGATAATTCGTGCGTGCAAACAGAACAATAAATAGCAACTGATAACGTAGTTAAAAATAAATGAACGTATGAGAAAAATGTTTTATAGATCATTTGAATGGCTCGATTGATTCTGTAGATGTTTATGATAATAAATGTTACGAATGTAGGAAATTAAATGTGTGTTACAGATCAATCTTGCGGAATTGCAGATGAAGAGAATACGTGTATGAATGCCAATTAAGGGATTAATTTAATATTCTCGGGGTACAGAACCCTGCAGGAGACATTTCTGCTTTTATATAATGCAACAGCGATTTATTTAATATTTAATATTTTAATATTTTAAAATATAAAAATAGCGTCACTAGACGTGGTGGCAAAACGCTCAAACTGGTACACGAATCTACCGGCGGAAAGAAATTTCTGAAAAATGCCCGATAGCGTCACTTGATGTTTCTAAAACAGGATCCGCAATCGGTAATCTGACTATTAGTTTCAAAGTTTTACCGCTATGTACAATTGTAATACATATATGTATTTAGAATATAGTGGGTATGTAGGGTATTTATATGAATAAAGTAAGTAATTATGATGTAAATGTGTCCACTCTGATAATTCCAATCAATTTTAATAATTCCAGTTCATTTATTTTGAATTGAAATTTTTATATCAACGAATAAATTACAATTTTTCAGGTTCAATAAAGATCTGGGATTTCTCTTTTGAAAGTTCATTTCAGTTTATTTGATAAACGAAATTCGTAGATCCGTTGCCATTTTCGTGTCGCAATCATCGTTACCGATATTTCATTTTTATTTTCAATTTTAACCGAGTTGTAAAACTTTCTCCAACTATAAATGATTTTGTATTTTTAATTTTCACTGAAATGTGATGCGCTTTCGCCAACTTTTAATAAATATTGTTTTCAATTCTAACTGAAATATGCTTCACTCTCTTCAATCAAAAATAAACTATATGCTGCCTGAATTTTCGCGGGAACATTATTTATTTTCTTTACGTTTCAATAATTTGTTTAAGAAATTTTAATTCATTGACTTGTTCAATTTTCATTTAAACTTCCTGCTGCTTTTTTCTGTTCTTTCCCGCTTCTCTTTACTGTCTTCCTCCTGCTTAAGTCCTTACTGTTTTATGTAGCATTTAGTCGCAACGAGCTCCCATAGCAGTGTTCCGGTCCAGTTGCTTGATGGCAGAACGTGGAGGAATATGGTCATGTGGNATGCATGAAATACGTTTTGCCATATAAAATGAAAATGCTATTTTACGTTTACAGATAAAATAGCTTCGAGCGCGAAGGGTTAACTTGGCCGTAGAACAGTAATTTAATTTTGATTTTATCAAAGTAATTTTGTTCGCGCGGCACACAGAATCGAATGCAACAAGGGCATCGAAATACAAATTACTCCATCTTTGTTCAGCGTCAATATTTTCTGATTGTATAACACGCATTTTCAACATACTTTGTACAGTGGCATGTTGTCTGTTTTCCAGCTTCAAGGAATTATTTACAAATCGAAGCTCGGAACCGATGTAAAAGGACGGAACCGCCACGTGGCGCGCCGACTAAACGTACATACATACATTTGGACTTCCGCGAAACGAGATGATTTCGACGAACACGTAAAACGACTTTCACGCGGCAGAAACAACAAACAATATCGGAGCGAAAAATTTGTTGAAGTTAAACAAGCAGGCGTCTATCCGCCGCCGGATCTACTTCGATCCGGGAAGTTAGGCTACACGGGGGCGGAGAAACGTCGGTGTTACGAGAAACAGGAACATCAATTAAGTGCACGAACTTGCACCAACGCGCCGAGATGCCGCGGAAAATATTTTGTGCCTGCAAAAGCTCTTTGAAGTTCCAAGCTAATGACAAATAATTTGATTCGCCTGCGTTCCTCTTGAAAACCGTCGGGTTGACGACAAATTAATTTACATGTTTCTTCGCGTCGATTCGATAAACGTTCGATATATATTGTAATATTATTACAATATTATAATATTATAATATACTATAATATTATTACAATATTAACCCTTTGCACTCGAAGCCATTTTAACTGTAAATCTAAAATGATTTTTCTGACCTACGCTGTCTCTATTTTATAGGACAGAGCGCATTTTACGCGTGCGAAATCGAGTCTTGCTACTTATGCAACAGTTTATATTTTTAACAATTGTTCAAATCTAAATTTTCTCGATGTAAGAATTATTTGGAATGCGATATATACATTTTTTAGCGGTGCCTCGAGGTCACCGGTCGAGCGCAAAGGGCTAATTTTTTTATCCCCATATTGCGCCAAAAGTAACTCGAGAACAGGATGGCTAAAATATTTTTAAATAAAGTTCGAAACACAGATATTGAAAACGATATTGTATTTTAATCGTGAAATAATGTTGTATTATATTACGTTCAAATGTTGAACGAAATAATTTGAAAATGAAATAATTTGATTTATCTAGATTCCGTTGAAAACTGTATCAGGTTGATGCGAAACTAAATATTCAATGAACCAATCATTTTTGTGCCCATGTTCTACCAAGAATAACTCGAAAACAGAATAAGCGAAATATATTTTTAAATACATTTAGATATACAGGATGTCCCAAAATTATTGTACAAGCGGGAAATGAGGTATTCCTGTGGTCATTTGAAGTAACTTTTACCTTAGCGAAAATGCAATCCGCGGCTTCGTTTACGAATTATTAGCGAAAAAGGGTGACCAATGAGAGGCGAGATTAGCTGGCGCGAGGCGGCCGAGCCGATCAGCGGAACTGGGCTTCGACCGCTCGTTGGCTCGGCCGCTTCGCGCCAGCCGTGCTGGCCCCTCATTGGTCACTGTTTTTCGCTAATAACTCGTAAACGAAGCCATGGATTGCATTTGTGCTAAGGAGAAAGTTATTTCAAATAACCTCAGGAACAATTTCTCGCTTGTACAATAATTTTTGAACGCCTTATGGAAAAAGTTTCTTGGAAGGTAAATATGCTATATTTTATCAGACAAGCATTATCGAGGCACCAATAGCGCGTCGTAAGGCTTCGGCGCGATCGAAAAGCCGGGTATAATTTCTACGGATTTTGGTTCCTTGCCAGGGACAGGAAGTAAAGTAAACTTCTGCATCACGCCGACGAAGATGACGAACATCGCAGTCTTGGCCAGAATCGCGCCTGGACATTTTCTTCTTCCTACAAGCAATAACAATAACATTTAGACTGCAACAATTTGTTGATAATGTTTCATCGGTTCCTCGGGCATATTCGACGAGCCTCGTATTATCACAAGTAGAAATTCGATATCCGGAAGTTACTACGTTCCTCGTAACATTCGATTACGCATTTCAATCGCGACGTAGAATCAGTTTAACGACGTTCTCCTCTCGCGTGACGTTTCCGACTTTCATAAAGATATCCGGAAACGAACGAGAACGAGCTGTCGTTTCTGCCGAGGCAGTTATAGTTACAGTGACACTTTAATGAGCCGACATTCACGCGCGCTAAAGATTCTGACGCGCGTCGACGCCGACCGCTCTAGGTTCGATAAACTGGTCTCTATTTTTCTGTTCGGAATTTTTGGTCATTCTTTATACGAAATATCTGAAATAATTAAATTAATAATAAATTAATAATAATTAATTATCTCGAAATATCGTAGACAACTTGGATCCACGCTACAACGGTTCTTAGCTATAGAGTCCAAGAAAAAAGTGAAATTAAAGGGATTTTTGAAACCTCCTCATCGACGACGATAGCCAATAAAAAGATGCGCGTCACACGTTTTAACAAAAAATCATCGCTAACGGAAATTCTGTATATATTTTTTAAAGTCTGAAACATTGTATCGTTGCTAAAAGATTTAACATTATTCCTGACGTAATAAAATACAGCTATATTGGAAAAATTAGTTAAATTATCAACGTTTTTTCAACTTTTACGCAAATGTGGCACCGGTCGGAAAAATATTGAAAAATAAGGACCATGCTATTGTGTTTAAAAAAAAACGTAAGCGTCCAGCTTGTAGAGAGTTTCATACCCATCCCGAAAATTATCGAATTTACATCGGGTTCGTAGATCCCGTTCTTGATGTGCCTTTCTGGATTAAATTTGTCTGGCTCGGGATGCAATTCCGGATCCATGTTCACGGAGTAATTATTAATTACGACAACGGTGTCCTTCGGTATTCTGTAACTTCCGAGCTTCGTGTCGCAGAGAACTCGCCGCGGAGCGATCAGTGGGAACAACGGCCACATACGCATCGTCTCGCTAATTATCGCCTCCGCATACGGCAACCTGCAACAATAAAGAATTTCGGCATCCGTACGCTGTGCCTTTTTTCAGCCCTATGCAGTCCGATGCGACAGTAAATGCACCGACGAATGCAAGCAACACCGAGGAAGACTTCGATATCGAATAGAAACTAAGCTGCATTTACGACAGATTTTGTGTTAACCCTTTGCACTCGAGCGGTGACTCCGAGGCACCACTAAAAAAAAAAATTGTTACATCACGTTCCAATATAATTTTTATATTATCAAAGTTTAGATATAAAAAATTGTTAAAGGTCTAACTGTTGTATGAGTCGCAAGACTAAATTTCATATGCATAAAATGCACTTTGTCGTGTAAAATGGAAATACCATAAGTCGAAGAAATTAATTTAGATTTACAGTTAAAATGGCTTCGAGTGCAAAGGATTAACAACACTTTCGAAACTTATTAGATCAGCGTAATGGAAGATCCTGATATTAAAAGCGGTTAATCACTTTAATGAAACCTAACGTCGACGAGATCGGCCCATTAAGAACGCTAACGCGAGTGCGATCATAATTTCGCACTTAATTACTTCAATCTGTCCGCTGTGTCAGGAAGTCTATCCGGTGGAATCGCCGAGTCGATTTCTTTTTGTAGCTTCCGCTGCACGTCCTGATGTATTATCATAGTAAGGAACAGGAACTCGAGCGTCGTCCCGATGGTCATAAATCCGGCGATGAACAAATCCACCAGAATCACCAATAACTGTTCTTCTAGAAATGTAAAAAACGTTCTATATAAAACGAATTGCCGGCGATGGGCCACCTTTCGCATCTACGACGAAGAAATAGTTCGAGCGACGTATCTGTGAATGCTCCATGTACCTGTGTAAACTGTGTCGGCGCCTTGGTTGTTCATGATCTCTGAGATGAACTTATCGATTATGTCCGTCACCCTTCCAGGAATGTAGTTTTTCTTGTGATCGATGATGGATTCCTGTGAGAGAATGTCGCAAGATAACCGATTCAATTATATGCATTCGAAACATAATTTTGGCAGACACCTATTTACTCCAAGTGACTCTTCGATTGTGAAAAATGGTGAGTAATGTAATATCGAAGAGAATAAGTAGCTGCTAAGAAAAAAGCTTCGATCTACCTCGTAGATTCACCCGCAAAACATTGCCATAGTTTCAGGAAATGTTTCAGCTTGTTAAAAGATATATCGAACTAATTGTTTAACACTAAAGCTGTCATGCTTTGTTGTTGGAATTGTTGTTGCAATTATAGAGACACTTTCGTGCAAAATAATTGATCCAATTTGTTAAGTCGAGCGTGTGTATTATAATAAAATTATTTGTAATTAATTAAAAATTATTCTTTTACTTTATATTCTAATAAAAATTGCGAAAAGTTTGAAGGAATTTATTCTTACTATTCTTGAAAAGTACAACGCATCAGTTACTTTTAGTGCTCGGTAGATTTATTGTTAATGTTATTACATTGTTTTGATTACCGTTCTTTAAGGAGATCGTGTATGCCAAAACTTATTGAAAGCGCCGCCGTTTCGAAAATCACAGTCTAATTAAAATTAATCTTCGTTCGAGCTGCTCACCATAAAGAAGTCCTTAAGCTCGTCGTGCAGCGTGACTAGAGGCTTGTAACCAGTGGCCTCGGGCGCAATGTGACGAATCCAAGGGAAAATGGTCAGAATCCCACCAGTCACGTCGAACAAGCGCGCCCGATCGTCCATCAAGTTCATCAAATGTAACCTGCAGACCGACATTCGAAAGACAGCAATTAATAATCACCACCGAATGTGCACCCAATAGATCCACTCGCGAGTCGCTTTTAAAAGGTCGTCGCAGATCGCAAATATTATATATATATATATATGCTATATATATTAATATATGCTATTAATTATTTATTATATTAATAATATATTATATAATATATACTGTGTTATATATTATATATATAGGGTGTCCCAAAAATGTATATATATATATGTATATGTATATATATATATAGGGTATTATTGTTATATATATAGGGTGTCCCAAAAATGTCACGCAATCCGAAAGTAGGGGATTCCTGAGATCATTTGAAGCAACTTCTTCCTCAGCGAAAATGCAATCCGCGGCTTCGTTTACGAGTTATTAACGAAAAACAGTGACCAATCAGAGGTGAGATCATTTGGCGCAAAACGGCCGAGCCAATGAGCAGAACTGGGCTCCGTGCACTCGTTGGTTCGGCCGCCGCGCGCCAGCCGAGCTCGCCTCTTATTGGTCAGTAAACTCGTAAACGAAGTCACGCAGAAAATTTTCGCAAAGGAAAAAGTTGCTTCAAATGACCTCAGAAACCTCTCATTTCCAGATTACGAGACATTTTCGGGACGCTCTGTATATATATAACGCAATATTATCGTCGCATCCGATCTTTCTGCGAATCACTTTGGGATCACGAGTTAGTTCTATTTGCAACTTCGGTGATACAGTAGATTCCGATTATTTGGGACTTGAATTCGGAGTAAAATAAAAATCCGCAGTTAAATGGATTTTAAGGAAGTCCGGTTAAATTCTGAAGTACTTGTTACAGTCTCCAATTTAACGTCTGCTTTATTCAAATGTGTAAAATAGGTTCCAATAAAAATAGAAATTCGACGAAGGTTACGTAGAGATAGGAACGTTACGCGGACATAGAGTGAAGAATTCAATACTACAATTTAAAATGGTACGAAGAAAATGTAATAGTATAATGTACGGTAATATTGGGTTGGCAACTAAGTAATTGCGGATTTCACTCATAGATGGCTCCAGTTGAATTTTTAGGTTTGCAGACGTAGTACAAATGTAAAACACATTTTGTTATTTGATAGTTGGCAATTCAGCTGTCAATCAGTAAAAAAAGTTTTTTGATCGGTTGCGTAGTTTTCGTTTGGCGTTCGTTGAAAAATGGAAAATGAAAAGGAACATTTTCGTCATATTTTGCTTTTTTATTTCCGCAAAGGAAAAACCGCATCGCAAGCTCATAAAAAGTTATGTGCTGTTTATGGTGACGAAGCCTTAAAAGAACGGCAGTGTCAAAATTGGTTTGCCAAATTTCGTTCTGGTGATTTTTCACTCAAAGATGAAAAGCGCTCTGGTCGTCCAGTTGAAGTTGATGACGCCCTAATCAAAGCAATAATCGATTCGGATCGTCACAGTACAACACGTGAGATTGCAGAGAAGCTTCATGTATCACATACATGCATTGAAAATCACTTAAAACAACTTGGCTATGTTCAAAAACTCGATACATGGGTTCCTCACGAACTGAAAGAAACGCATTTAACGCAACGCATTAACAGCTGCGATTTGCTAAAGAAACGTAATGAAAATGATCCATTTTTAAAACGACTGATAACTGGCGATGAAAAATGGGTTGTTTACAACAATATCAAGCGGAAAAGATCGTGGAGCAGGCCAGGTGAACCAACTCAAACAACATCAAAAGCTGATATTCATCAAAAGAAGGTTTTGTTATCAGTTTGGTGGGATTACAAAGGAATTGTCTACTTTGAACTCTTACCACCCAACCGAACGATCAATTCTGATATCTACATTGAACAACTAACGAAATTAAACAATGCAGTTGAAGAAAAGCGGCCCGAATTGACAAATCGAAAAAGTATTGTATTCCATCATGACAATGCAAGGCCACACACATCTTTGGCCACTCGGCAAAAATTATTGGAGCTTGGTTGGGATGTTTTGCCACATCCACCATATAGTCCTGACCTTGCACCATCTGATTACTTTTTGTTTCGATCTTTACAAAACTCCTTGAATGGTAAAAATTTCAATAATGATGATGATGTCAAATCGTACCTGATTCAGTTTTTTGCTAATAAAAACCAGAAGTTTTATGAACGTGGGATTATGATGCTGCCTGAAAGATGGCAAAAGGTCATTGATCAAAATGGGCAATACATTACAGAATAAAGTTATTTAGTTCCATGAAAAAATTGTCTTTGATTTTCTAAAAAATATCCGCAATTACTTAGTTGCCAACCCAATAGTTGATGCGCGATGGCAGACATACAAATACCTTGAACTCTCGCTGAAGCGATTGCCCATCATAAAATGCGACAGAATATTTGTGGCGGCAAATGCGACTACTGGCTTCAATGTTCTCACACCTCCGCCCTTCAGGTTCTCCAGAATCGCGTCTAGTTCGGTCGCAATCATGTCCGACATCAAGCGTTTGCCATAACCGAAGTCTTTCAGAGTATGGATCATCCAGTTACGCAATTCTTTCCACGCGGGCCCATCATTCATCGTGATGCCTTGCAAACGAAAATTAAATTTCAGCCAGCAGATATCGTAATTGGTGAACGGTTTCTTACTGTCGTGCCGTGAAGATGGGGAAGGTGGGATTCCCTCGAGAATACGTCTCAAACAGATACGAGAAATCGTGTAACGAGGATTACGCGTTTGAATAGTGTAATTGTCAGTTTCGAAACGAAAGGTGGACTCGATGAGAAGGAATCGAATTCAGTTTTTGAGAAAAAGGTCAAACATAAGGATGAGTCAGTTTTCTTTGCTAATAGTTTATATACAGGGTGTCCCAAAATTATGCTACTTCCGGGAAATTAGAGATTATTGAAGTCATTCGAAGCAACTTTTTCCTTTACAAAAATTTTCTCCGAGGCATCGTTAACGAATTATTAACGGAAAACGCTGACCAATGAGAGGCGAGCTTGGATGGCGCGAGGCGGCCCAGCCAACGAGCGCACGAATCCCAGTTCCGCTCATTGGCTCGGACAGGCGAGCTCGACCTCATTGGTCATTGTTTTTCGTTAATAACTCGTAAACGATGCCTCGGAGAAAATATTTGTAAAGGAAAAAGTCACTTCAAATCACCTCAGGATCTCCTCATCTCGCGCAAATACCATAATTTTGGGACACTCTGTATGATAACTTACCTAGCTTCTTTCGGAAAGTACGTATTTTGATAAACTCGTCGAAGGGCCGGCCATCGAACTGTTCGTCTTTCAGTATCGCTGAGACTAGCTTCTTTCCAGAAACGATCAACCCCCTCTTCGTACCAAAGTACACGGTGATCATGTCGCTCCGGTATTGCTTGCAAAGCTCGATCAGTGCCAGATGCAATCCACCACATTTCTCGGATAATTGGTTCAGTAACAATTGGTTGCCGACGATCGGCCAAGGAAATGGTCCTGAAAGATAATTCGTGCGTGCAAACAGAACAATAAATAGCAACTGATAACGTAGTTAAAAATAAATGAACGTATGAGAAAAATGTTTTATAGATCATTTGAATGGCTCGATTGATTCTGTAGATGTTTATGATAATAAATGTTACGAATGTAGGAAATTAAATGTGTGTTACAGATCAATCTTGCGGAATTGCAGATGAAGAGAATACGTGTATGAATGCCAATTAAGGGATTAATTTAATATTCTCGGGGTACAGAACCCTGCAGGAGACATTTCTGCTTTTATATAATGCAACAGCGATTTATTTAATATTTAATATTTTAATATTTTAAAATATAAAAATAGCGTCACTAGACGTGGTGGCAAAACGCTCAAACTGGTACACGAATCTACCGGCGGAAAGAAATTTCTGAAAAATGCCCGATAGCGTCACTTGATGTTTCTAAAACAGGATCCGCAATCGGTAATCTGACTATTAGTTTCAAAGTTTTACCGCTATGTACAATTGTAATACATATATGTATTTAGAATATAGTGGGTATGTAGGGTATTTATATGAATAAAGTAAGTAATTATGATGTAAATGTGTCCACTCTGATAATTCCAATCAATTTTAATAATTCCAGTTCATTTATTTTGAATTGAAATTTTTATATCAACGAATAAATTACAATTTTTCAGGTTCAATAAAGATCTGGGATTTCTCTTTTGAAAGTTCATTTCAGTTTATTTGATAAACGAAATTCGTAGATCCGTTGCCATTTTCGTGTCGCAATCATCGTTACCGATATTTCATTTTTATTTTCAATTTTAACCGAGTTGTAAAACTTTCTCCAACTATAAATGATTTTGTATTTTTAATTTTCACTGAAATGTGATACGCTTTCGCCAACTTTTAATAAATATTGTTTTCAATTCTAACTGAAATATGCTTCACTCTCTTCAATCAAAAATAAACTATATGCTGCCTGAATTTTCGCGGGAACATTATTTACTTTCTTTACGTTTCAATAATTTGTTTAAGAAATTTTAATTCATTGACTTGTTCAATTTTCATTTAAACTTCCTGCTGCTTTTTTCTGTTCTTTCCCGCTTCTCTTTACTGTCTTCCTCCTGCTTAAGTCCTTACTGTTTTATGTAGCATTTAGTCGCAACGAGCTCCCATAGCAGTGTTCCGGTCCAGTTGCTTGATGGCAGAACGTGGAGGAATATGGTCATGTGGATGAACGATTGCATCATTATTCCTCATGATAAAGCGTTGGGTATCGAGATCTGTGAGGCACTGTGTGCTTGATAAGCATTGTACGCATCGTAGTGAACACAAGAGTTCACTTACCTGGGGGATGTTTTTCCTCTTCCAACCCGGTAAATGTAAAGAACAGTGACAAAATCACGATCAACGATATCAGTATCACGGTGGCAACCATAGTGTGGCTCGAATGTGATTCGATGACCGATGATCGAGCCGTTAGATCCCAAGATACAGTTAACTTTGAGGAACCATCGATCCTTCACGCTTTATAAAAGCTTTCGAGCTTGGACACGGAGTCATTTTATTTTTCTGCTGCGCAAGACTCGGTGCTGTGTCCGATAACGCCGTACAATTCGATAAGTTGGACAAGCTGACGATGTGCTGACCTTCAGTTCCTCTTCTTCCGCCTGAGCCTGTTTACGTCGAATGAAGAAGACACGAGAAATTAATACTGCGATGGGAGATGGATGGATGCTGGATGTGTTCAATGAATAAAATGTAATTATTTAATTTATTTGTATATTTTTAATCGTGCTTCGTTTAATTCGCCTTCGATCAGCTTTTTCACATTTTGTTGCGAATTAGATTTTACAACATTAAATTATTATTAATTTTTATTGAGGGGTTGAATGATTTCAACCCCTAATGATTTCATTTTTTATATTTTTTTTTATATTTTTATAGGACCGAAGATGCGCTAGTTTATCGTTTTTGTGAATTTCTTCAATAATGTAAAATCATGCAAGGTATAAACGTACAAGTTAAAGTAAAGTAAAAAATAGTTATATGAATATGTTAGTTATTTTAAATTGCGCGGGTATACCCTGCTCAACTTTATATTATTGGAGAAATTCACAAAAAATGATAAACTAGTGCATCCCAGGTTCTATAAAAAAGACGTCATGAGATCGTGTCATTCCATTATATATATATTATATATATATATATATATATATGTTAGTTAAGGTTAGTTTAGCTAAAATTATATATGTAAATGCACATATATAACAACATAGTATACAACAACATTTGTTTATCATAGTAAACCTATCATTTAGTTTTCAAGGATAAACTATGAATTCGTGGACTCTAATTACGCTATTTACGAATTTTTTACTTGAAACTAAACAAATGTTTAACGTTTCATCCATAAACTATTTCGGCGGACCAGGTTGATTTTTATCACTCGCGCCAAATTGTCGTCTTTGTACCATAAACCAATCTCTACAAGTTGTTTTAGATAAATGGTACATATTCCCAATAAGCCTCTACTAGTAAACAATGATTTTCTTAAAATAAACGTGAGCATCGAAATCCAAATTTTACTTATTTATTCAGTTAAAATATTTTCTCATTGTACAATTCGCATTTTCAAGGTACGGTAAATTCTTCCTAATTGATGCTTGTCTTGGAAAAAAAGTGGACAATTTGGGAAGAGAAGGTACGATTATTCCAGGCTTGCCAACAACTACAGAAATGAGCTGCAAGGCTTGAATAATCGTATCTCCTCTTTCTAAATTGTTCATTCTTGTGCACAATCTGAAGGAAAATTAGGAAGAATTTACTTTCTACAGTGGCAATGTTGTCCGTTTTCCAGCTTCAAGGAATTATGTATTTACAAATCGAAGCTCCGACGTGACGCGCCGGCTAAACGTATACAAATTCCTGAGGTCATTTGAAGTAACTTTATCCTTAACGAAAATGCAATCCGCGGTTTTGTTTGCGAGTAATCAACGAAAAACACCGACCAATAAGAGACGAGCTCTGGAACGAGGCGGCTGAACCAATAAGCGCACGAAGCCCAGTTCCGCTTATTGGCTCAGCCGGCTCGCGCGAGCTAAGCTCATTGGTTTTTCATTAATAATTCATAAAAAAGTTACTTCAAATCACCTCAGAAACTCCCCTTTTCCTGATTACGAAACATTTTTGGAACACCCTGTATAATACGTTCAATAAGATATAGTAACTATACAATTATGAATAATTGCTTACCTTGCTTCTTTCCAAGAGTGCGTATTTTGGTAAACTCGTCGATGGGCCGGCCATCGAACTGTCCGTCTTTCAGTATCGCTTGCATCAGTTTGCTTTCAGAAACAATCAATCCCCTTTTCGTATCAAAGTACGTGATCGTATTGCTGCGGTATTGCTTGCAAAGCTCGATCGGTGCCAAATGCGTCCAACCATGTTTCAGGGATAATTGGTTCAATAACAATTGATTACCGACGATCGGCCAGAGAAATGGTCCTGAAAGATAATTCGTACGTGGTAAGAAGAGACCAATCGATAGCAACTGATAATTTAATTAGAAATACGTGAACGTATGAGAAAAATGATTTGTCGATAATTTGTTATATTATATAATAGTTATTATTAAATATATTAAATAGTTATTATTTATAATACTAATAAACGTTATGAATGTAGAAAATTGAATATGTGTTGCAGATGAATATTGCGGAGTTAGTCATAAAGAGGATATGTGTATTGAAAATGGTACGAAATCTGATAATTCAGGAATTAGAAGATAATTTAGGAATATAGAAGAATATTCCCTAATTTAGGAATTAAACGAATATTCTATGGGTACAGATCCTTTCGCTAGACATTTCTGATTCGGTGTTATGATTTATTTAATTTCCTCTTTCTATTTAATTTCTTTCGATTTATTTAATATCTTAAATGGACGAAATAATTGAGTTTTGCCACTTTGGCCACAAAATCAATATAAAATCCGGCACGAATTATCCGCTACTGGAAATATAAAAATAGCGCCACTAGACATAGTGGCAAAACTCACAAACTGGTAGGTAAATCAACCGACAGAAGGACATTTCTCGAAAATGTCTAGTGGCGCCATCTGATGTATCTAAAACAGGATCCGCAGTCGATAATTTGTCTACTAGTTTCAAGGTTTTGCCACAATGTGTAAGGGTGCTATATTTAGATTACACATTGGTATGTGCGATATTTATTTGAATAAGATGATTAATTATGTTATCAATCTCCTCTCTGCCAATTTCGTTAACTTTTAATAATTCCAGTTCATTTATTTTGAATTGAAATTTTTATATTAACAAATAAATTACAATTTTTCAGATTCAATAAAGATCTAGGATTTCTCTTTTGAAAGTTTATTTCAGTCTCTTTGATAAACGAAATTCATTGAGATCCATTGCCATTTTCGTGTCGCAATCATCGTTACCGATATTTCATTTTTATTTTCAATTTTAACCGAGTTGTAAAACTTTCTCCAACTATAAATGATTTTGTATTTTTAATTTTCACTGAAATGTGATGCGCTTTCGCCAACTTTTAATAAATATTGTTTTCAATTCTAACTGAAATATGCTTCACTCTCTTCAATCAAAAATAAACTATATGCTGCCTGAATTTTCGCGGGAACATTATTTATTTTCTTTACGTTTCAATAATTTGTTTAAGAAATTTTAATTCATTGACTTGTTCAATTTTCATTTAAACTTCCTGCTGCTTTTTCCTGTTCTTTCCCGCTTCTCTTTAGTGTCTTCCTTCTGCTTAAGACCTTATTGTTTCATGTAGCATTTAGTCGCAACGAGCTCCCATAGCAGTGTTCCGGTCCAGTTGCTTGGTGGCATAACGCGGTGGAATATGATACGGTTACGCCCGCCATATTTACCGGGACGAAGGTGGAGAAACATCCCCCAGGTAAGTGAACTCCTGTGTTGTGACTGTGCTATACAATTATAGCGACAACGCTAGATTATTCTTTTTGCGAATTTTATCAGTAACGAAAACTCAAGCAGCGGATAAACGCGCAAGATAAACTTACGAACGTGCAAGTAACTGTTAATAATTGAACTGCGGATATTTATATAATTCTTGTATCTCGCAACATGAAAAATTCATGCATGCAAAAATTATGTAAAATACGTGTAAAATCCACAGCTATAACAACATTCGTTTATCATAATACCTGCAGATAAATTACGAATTAATTAACATCGCAAATAGCGATAAACTTTTGCGGACAAACTTATACTTATTTCAAAAGTACGATAACGAACATTTTGTTAAAAATATTGTCCACCGGAGACTACAACCATTTCCCATTTTTTCAGGTAATAGAATTGATTCCGCGGTAGAAAAATTCGGGTCTCCTCGCGACGATCCAGGTATCCACTCATTTTTGGCCATACTCGCAACAATTGAAAACACGGTTTTGCTAAGAAAAACCGTGCCCATGAAAATCTGAAGGAATAACGACCGGCGAATACGGCGGCGAGGAAGGACGTCGTATGCAACTGCTTCCAAGGTTTCTCCCATTTCATACCAAATCAATGTTTAACGTTTCATTTTCAAACTATTTCGGCGGAGCAGGGCGATCTTTATCTCTCGCGCCAAACAGTCGTCTTTGAACCATATAAACCAATCGTTCCAAGTTGTTTCAGATATCTCCTGAAAGCCCCGACTAACAGGCAATGACTTTCTTAAAATAAACACGGACATCGAAACACAAATTTTACTTCTTTATTCGATTAAAATATTTTCTGATTGTATATCACGCATTTTCAACATACTTTTTGTACAGTCGTATATCGTCCGTTTCCCAGCATCAAGGAATTATTTATAAATCGAACCTCGGAACCGATGTAAAAGGACGGAATCGCCACGTGGCGCGCCGACTAAACATACATAAATTCGGACACGCGCGAAACGATATCGGATAATATTTGATAAATATTCAATGACCTAATANTCGATTTCTTTTTGTAGCTTCCGCTGCACGTCCTGATGTATTATCATAGTAAGGAACAGGAACTCGAGCGTCGTCCCGATGGTCATAAATCCGGCGATGAACAAATCCACCAGAATCACCAATAACTGTTCTTCTAGAAATGTAAAAAACGTTCTATATAAAACGAATTGCCGGCGATGGGCCACCTTTCGCATCTACGACGAAGAAATAGTTCGAGCGACGTATCTGTGAATGCTCCATGTACCTGTGTAAACTGTGTCGGCGCCTTGGTTGTTCATGATCTCTGAGATGAACTTATCGATTATGTCCGTCACCCTTCCAGGAATGTAGTTTTTCTTGTGATCGATGATGGATTCCTGTGAGAGAATGTCGCAAGATAACCGATTCAATTATATGCATTCGAAACATAATTTTGGCAGACACCTATTTACTCCAAGTGACTCTTCGATTGTGAAAAATGGTGAGTAATGTAATATCGAAGAGAATAAGTAGCTGCTAAGAAAAAAGCTTCGATCTACCTCGTAGATTCACCCGCAAAACATTGCCATAGTTTCAGGAAATGTTTCAGCTTGTTAAAAGATATATCGAACTAATTGTTTAACACTAAAGCTGTCATGCTTTGTTGTTGGAATTGTTGTTGCAATTATAGAGACACTTTCGTGCAAAATAATTGATCCAATTTGTTAAGTCGAGCGTGTGTATTATAATAAAATTATTTGTAATTAATTAAAAATTATTCTTTTACTTTATATTCTAATAAAAATTGCGAAAAGTTTGAAGGAATTTATTCTTACTATTCTTGAAAAGTACAACGCATCAGTTACTTTTAGTGCTCGGTAGATTTATTGTTAATGTTATTACATTGTTTTGATTACCGTTCTTTAAGGAGATCGTGTATGCCAAAACTTATTGAAAGCGCCGCCGTTTCGAAAATCACAGTCTAATTAAAATTAATCTTCGTTCGAGCTGCTCACCATAAAGAAGTCCTTAAGCTCGTCGTGCAGCGTGACTAGAGGCTTGTAACCAGTGGCCTCGGGCGCAATGTGACGAATCCAAGGGAAAATGGTCAGAATCCCACCAGTCACGTCGAACAAGCGCGCCCGATCGTCCATCAAGTTCATCAAATGTAACCTGCAGACCGACATTCGAAAGACAGCAATTAATAATCACCACCGAATGTGCACCCAATAGATCCACTCGCGAGTCGCTTTTAAAAGGTCGTCGCAGATCGCAAATATTATATATATATATATATGCTATATATATTAATATATGCTATTAATTATTTATTATATTAATAATATATTATATAATATATACTGTGTTATATATTATATATATAGGGTGTCCCAAAAATGTATATATATATATGTATATGTATATATATATATAGGGTATTATTGTTATATATATAGGGTGTCCCAAAAATGTCACGCAATCCGAAAGTAGGGGATTCCTGAGATCATTTGAAGCAACTTCTTCCTCAGCGAAAATGCAATCCGCGGCTTCGTTTACGAGTTATTAACGAAAAACAGTGACCAATCAGAGGTGAGATCATTTGGCGCAAAACGGCCGAGCCAATGAGCAGAACTGGGCTCCGTGCACTCGTTGGTTCGGCCGCCGCGCGCCAGCCGAGCTCGCCTCTTATTGGTCAGTAAACTCGTAAACGAAGTCACGCAGAAAATTTTCGCAAAGGAAAAAGTTGCTTCAAATGACCTCAGAAACCTCTCATTTCCAGATTACGAGACATTTTCGGGACGCTCTGTATATATATAACGCAATATTATCGTCGCATCCGATCTTTCTGCGAATCACTTTGGGATCACGAGTTAGTTCTATTTGCAACTTCGGTGATACAGTAGATTCCGATTATTTGGGACTTGAATTCGGAGTAAAATAAAAATCCGCAGTTAAATGGATTTTAAGGAAGTCCGGTTAAATTCTGAAGTACTTGTTACAGTCTCCAATTTAACGTCTGCTTTATTCAAATGTGTAAAATAGGTTCCAATAAAAATAGAAATTCGACGAAGGTTACGTAGAGATAGGAACGTTACGCGGACATAGAGTGAAGAATTCAATACTACAATTTAAAATGGTACGAAGAAAATGTAATAGTATAATGTACGGTAATATTGGGTTGGCAACTAAGTAATTGCGGATTTCACTCATAGATGGCTCCAGTTGAATTTTTAGGTTTGCAGACGTAGTACAAATGTAAAACACATTTTGTTATTTGATAGTTGGCAATTCAGCTGTCAATCAGTAAAAAAAGTTTTTTGATCGGTTGCGTAGTTTTCGTTTGGCGTTCGTTGAAAAATGGAAAATGAAAAGGAACATTTTCGTCATATTTTGCTTTTTTATTTCCGCAAAGGAAAAACCGCATCGCAAGCTCATAAAAAGTTATGTGCTGTTTATGGTGACGAAGCCTTAAAAGAACGGCAGTGTCAAAATTGGTTTGCCAAATTTCGTTCTGGTGATTTTTCACTCAAAGATGAAAAGCGCTCTGGTCGTCCAGTTGAAGTTGATGACGCCCTAATCAAAGCAATAATCGATTCGGATCGTCACAGTACAACACGTGAGATTGCAGAGAAGCTTCATGTATCACATACATGCATTGAAAATCACTTAAAACAACTTGGCTATGTTCAAAAACTCGATACATGGGTTCCTCACGAACTGAAAGAAACGCATTTAACGCAACGCATTAACAGCTGCGATTTGCTAAAGAAACGTAATGAAAATGATCCATTTTTAAAACGAC